ATGTCATCGCAGTGGGTGCCGTTGCCCTGCAGGCCGGGGGGACAGGGCCCACAGCGGTAGCCCGGGTACTCGTACACTTCCATGCAGTCCACGCCTCGGAAGCAGGGATTGGGGCTGCAGTGAGAACGCTGCTCGTGGAAGCCTGGGAGGTGGGCACAGTCAGCCACTCGGGGGTCATCATTCAAATTGCAGTAAGGGGAAACTGAAGCTGTCGGGTGGGGAGCATAGTGGTGCCATCTGGAGCCCTCCCCTACTCTCCCACTCACCGCACACCTGACACTCCATAATGGTGTTTCGAATAAGGGACATTTCCTTCACCTGAAGGATGGGGAGGAGTCAGCTCTCAGCATCTGCCACCCTACCCCCGAGTCCGAAGCACCCTTGGCTGGCCCACCCAAACCTGGTCTCGGATGTCATCCCGCAGCTCCACCAGGATCTGGTTGAAGAGGGTGAGTTGGGTGACCAGCGCCTTGGTCTGCTCCCCTGTCAGGGCCCAGGGTGTGGAGAGGCTCAGAACTGGGGTACTAGCCTTGGCCCCTCTTTGGACAATAGCCAGCTCCTTCCCAAAGTGGATGCCCATCCCCTACCTTTAAGCCCCACCCATGCCTGACTGAAGAGGACTTAGTTCCAGGCAGCTGAGAAAGCCGGGGCCTCCGCCCCATTTCACCCCTTCCACTTCGTGGCCTACTTACCTAGAATGGATTGCAGTGCATTGGTCACTAGAGAGAAGAAAACATGGTCAGGGGGGTGGGCTGGTGAGGGGGAAGGGGAAGAGGAACAGGGCTGTAGCCTCAATAAAGATAAGATACTGCAGAGTAGGAGGGCAAAGGTGACAAGCAAACAGGACCACTTTTTGTTTTTTCCACTCTGCTGGGGATTGCAATCCAGGACCTCACACATGCTAGGCAAGTGCTGTACCACTGGCCACATCCCCAGCTGGTACCAGCTCTTTCCACTGAGTGAGACCCTCTAAGGAAGTTGTCATAGGATGTGAAAACTCAAATTCTGGTTCCCAGGCATGGTAGTAGCAGAAGGGGTCCAAGTAAAAGACTACCCAAAGCATTACATCTATTTCCTCTCCCCCTCCTCCCCCTCCAGCTTCCACTTCAAGAGCTCTTCCTTTGAAATATCTGGAAGATGTGGGTAGTTTACTTAGGTAATAGCCTTTGAGCACCCTGTCAGAAAGACCAAGCAGATCAGCCGTGTCTGGACACACTGCTGGTAGGTGACAGGTGCTAAAGGGCAGATACAAAGGACCTTAGAGCAGCATCTCTGCCAAGACCAGACAATTACCTTCCTCCCACCTATCCCCCAGAGGTCCTCAGAGTTATATTCCTCTCAGATTATTTTTCTTGCCATGCTGGTAGGTGGGGTGACCTGAACATGAAGATTTTTTTTTTAATCCACACCTTTTTTTTTTTTTGCAGTACTGAAGTTTGAACTCAGGACCTACACGTCGAGCCACTCCACCAGCTCTTTTTTGTGATTTTTTTTTCCAAGATAAGGACTGGCTTTGAACTGTGATCCTCCTGCTCTCTGCCTCCTGAGTAGCTAGGATTCCAGGCGTGAGCCACCCGCACCCAGCTGACCCACACCTCTCATATAAGGGATTATGAGCCGGGTGTGGGTGGCTCACGCCTGGAATCCTAGCTACTCAGGAGGCAGAGATTAGGAGGATCACACTTCCAAGCCAGCCCCAGGCAAATATTTCTTAAGATTCTATTTCAAAAAAAAAAAAAAAACACACAAAAAAAAAGGGTTGGTAGAGTGGGTCAAGCAGTAAGAGTGCCTGCCAAAGAGCCTGAGGCCCAGAGTTCAAACCCAGTGTCACAAAAAAAAAAAAAATCATGATGTCAGGGATGAAAGATTTGGTTTAACAGGACCAGAAACACCAGAAACAAGCAAGCCAAAGGAATGAGGGTTAGGGGAAGGGAGAACTGTGTTACCTGCATTGTGGATGGACTCATCCCCTTGGAATGGACACTCACTTAGGGCTCCTACTCGGGCCATCGACCCGCCCAGAATAATTTTCATGGATTCCACAAAGCCCTGAGAGGACAGCAAGAAAGGTGAGAGAATCTATCAATTCTTCCCCCAATTGATAGAAACTTTCCACAAAACTCAATGTCCCCCCTGCTCACCTGCATCCTCAGATAAGCCTTCTGTCCAGTCCTAATCTCCAGCCCATTGACCTCTGCTGGAGGAATGGGGGCCAGTGCTGGAAGACCAGCATGTTGGTCACCCAGTTTGCAGTCCACATAGAGCTGCAAGCCAGGGCTGGGTCGGGATGGTCCTCGGAGCCGGAGGAGAGCTGTGTGTGTGCGTCCGTCAGCCAGGCCTGCTTGCTGTAGATTCACTGCATGAACTTTGCCATCTTCCCGCTGATACCGCACCAGTACTGTCCGGGAGCAGAGGTCAGTATGGGCACTGCCTCCCCATCCCGTGTCCCAGTTAAGCTTTGATACCTCTTCCAAAAACTGTAACTCTAGGATTACCATCCTTTATTCAACTATGTATTTCTCACCACCTTGTACATAATAGGTATACAATAAATGTTTCCCCATTTTGGTTTAGAGACTAGGACTTAAGTTTGTGTGCATCAGAGCACTCTATCCTCTCCCAGGCTGGTTCTATGGCCACTGAACTGTCCCAGGGATCTGAGGGACTCTATCACTGCTAGGACAGAGACACCTCATCTACCCTCTGGGCATCCTCAAATATAACCTCCCATCTCTATAATTGCCAGGCCTCACTTTACTCTTTGAGTATCTCCTAAGGTATCCCTATACCGGGTGCCCCCTGGTGCCTGGACATAGACTGATAGGAGTGGGGATTAAGTGCTCAAGGGGGTCACCAATGCAGGAAAGGAGATGCCCACCAGTCACCTTTGTTGATCTTGCCCACAACAGAGGCCTCCAACCATCGAGTGTTGTCTTGGCGAGAGTAGAGGCCAAAGAGGACACCACCCTGCTTGGGGGGCAGGCGGAAGGTGGACAAAAGGTAGATGTCCCCAGCAGTGAGTAGGGCTGTTCGGATCTTCTCTGCCACAGCTACCATCTGTCGGGACTCGCCCACAGTCAGTAGGTCAATTACTGGCCAGGCAGGGGTAATCAAGGTCAGAGAAGGGAGTCTTCAGGGAGTCCCAGAGTCCACAGGGGCAGGGTATACCTAATCACCCCCAGCCCTGTTGTCAGGCAGACCATAAGTCACCTTCACAAAACTCAACCCTTTTTGGGGGAGGCTGTGTTTCTGCCCTTCCGCCATTGCCTACTATCTCCAGAGCTCTGAGAGCCTGCAGGCCTGAGGTTCATTTAGAAATACCTTAACCACCCCATAAACTTGAGATGCCCCCACCAGGTGGCGCAAGGGAGACACAGCTGGTCAGAGGCAGGAGTGGCACCTGGTGCCCACAGCACAGAAACCAGAGGCAGCTTCTTTCCACTGCTAGGTTTGGCTCATTCCCTACACTGGTCCTCCTCCTCCCATCCTGGGGGCTTAGCACACAAATCTGCATAAGACCAGCTGCCCACTAAAGGATCTGACTCCCATCTCTCCCTCTGGGAATGTGGACCCAGCTCCTCTGCCTGCTGTGTCCTGGCCAATATGTGGTTTCCCCCTCCAGCCAGTAAAGAATCTTTGCCTGTGTCATCTGCTCCAGCTACCTCTCCCACAGCCATGGGCCCATCCCACCACCAGACCTCCGGGAGAGTCCAGTCCTTTCAGTCCCCACCCCCGCCCTGTCGTTTGGCAGCCAAGAGCCAAAGGAGAAGGGGGACAAAGCCCAGGACCCACACAGTGCACCCACCTTCAGGCTACTCTCTCAGATCGTTGGGTGTCTGTGGATGCTCTGACACCAACCCAGCCACACAGCCCTAGCATCCAGCTCCTGTGTCCTCTGCCCTGGCCTCATGCCTGATCTTGGCTAGTTAGCACTCACCCACTGTGCCCGCTCCTCACGAGACCATAATTTCACCAACTCTATATAGTGTAACTCCTCCGGCTCAATTTCAGGACCCTTCCTCTCTCCCCTTGCCCACATGCTCCCTGCTACCTAGTCTTGGGGTAAAAGGTAGGAAAAAGAGGGGTCTAAGAGGATGAAGACAGGCTTACCCTGCAGGTCCTGACTGGCAGATGCGAAAGAGCAAAGAAGAAGAAGAGCCAGGGCCCACCGAAGTTCCTGCGTCTCCATGCCGCTCTGCCGGCTCACTACCCCTGGCAGGCAGGCAGGCTGCTGGGAGGGGAAAAGGCTAGGCGGAGAGCAGGAGCGGGGGGCGGAGGGACCGAGGGGAGAGTTGAAGGGGGGGGGCTAGCAGGCGGGTGGGGGGGGCTGAAACAAAGAGCTGCCAATCACCCCGGAGGCATCACCAACTCCAGGAACCAGGGCCACTGCGAAAGAGTCAGAGGCCTCCCTGCCTCCTGCTCTTCCCTAATGGACCTCTCTTCCAGGTGCCTACCTCTCCCGTCATCCACTGTTGGGGCCCTCAACATACAGCGCTACCAAATGCTACTGTTTTCTGGAAGCCACAGTTGAGGAAGGCAGGAACCTCTGGCATGGACAGTGTCAGACAGGGGCATTATTCCACAGTTGGCAGAAAAGGTTGCCAAGGGAGTGGTAAAAACTAGTTTGCTATAGTGCCCAGAGGATGCTCACATAGCATGAAGCTTGCTGCTTTGGCGGACGGAGTGCTCTTTCACTAAGTGCTCTTTTTTAGGGTGGGGGAGTTGCTGACATGTGCCTGCTCCTCCATTTTCCCTCATTCCTAGGAAAACTTAGGGGAGTCTGGAAACTGGGAGAGTCTAAAACAGTGGTCAGTTAAGTCGAAACGAAATCAATAAAGAGTAAAAGGACACCAGAAACAGGGGACCAGCGAAGAGCCAAGGACCAAACTGGGGAACACTGTATTGGCGGACGGACCATGACCCGGATGAAGCGGAGGGACACCCGAGTTCCTGTTACCAAGGCAACAGCTTTCGAGCCCCACCTCCCCTCCCCCATCCAGGCCCCAGCCCGGCCTTGCTCCGGCCGCCGCCACCGCCTCTGTTTTGTTTCCATGGCGACAGGCGGCGCGGGGCCCGCTCCAAACATAACGCTCTGTGGAAAACATGCGGCTTGGGGGGCCCCCCCGCAGCTCCCGCTCGGGGCCGGGCCCAGAGGGGCCGGGGAGCAGTCCACGCCACGCACGGTTTGGCAGCTGCCCCCAGATCCGGACCAGGAGCATAAGACCCCCCTCTCCTAAGCCCGCCGCTCCTTTAGGGGTTCGGGGCTCCGCTCAGCCGAGGCGCTGTGCCTCTCCCAGGCGCTCCTGGCCGACCGCCCTTCCCGCCTGCAGAGGCCGCCTCTGCCTGGGCATTCGGCCGCCCTCCCTCGAAACCCGCAGCCCCGCCTCCCGCTGTGCCGCTGCCTCCCGAGCCGAGAGAAGCCGCGCCTCCCCGGGGGCCTCCCCAGGCCCCCAACCCCGAGAGGACAGAGGGGCGGGGGCCGGGGGTGGGTCCTTGCGGATGAGGGCAGAAGCGCGCAGGGAGGTGCTTCCGGAACAGAGGGCGTGCAAGATGGCGGCGCCCATGGAGCTATTCTGCTGGTCAGGGGGCTGGGGGCTTCCGTCAGTGGACCTGGACAGCCTGGCCGTGCTGGTGAGGGGTGGCGCCGGCGCCCTCTGCTGCGCCTTAGAGGACTGGGGAGTGGGCCCGAACTAGCCAAGCATCGAACTTTGCTGGGCGTCCCTCGGCGGGCGCATTGGGGGAAACTGAGGCAATCAAAGACCGTGCCCGACCGATATGGGCTAAGTGCTCTGTTTTGTGGTTTCCTAGGATTCCTAGCAATGGAAATAGGCCTAATCCGGGATTCAGGAGACGGCTCTTTTAGTTCTTGCTAATCCATTTACTAGCTGTGTGACCTTGGGGCAATCCCTTCTGGATGATCTCAGGGATCCTAGGGTTGGCATTCCCGTCTTCTCAGTACCCCCATCATAAGCCTACTGCTTGTTGTGCCAAACGGTTCACAGCCAGGCTGTAGGAAGAGTTTGGAATCAGACCGGCTTGATTCGTTTCATTCATTTACCCTCTCCATGATTTTAAAAGCATATGTTAGACTTCCTCAAAATATCAAACATTGCCATGTAAAGATGAATGAAACTTAGTTCCTCAAGTTGTTTGCAGAAAGGCAGACATGTAAGCAAACAAATCTAATAAAATGTTCAGGTGTTTTCTAGTTAGGAAAAGCTTCTGAGGACAGATGTTTATTAGATGGCAGGAGAGGAGATGGAAGAATTTTCCTAGCTGACTTGTAATCACAGACATGTCCACAATCTCTCCGAGTTCTGTTTTATCTATTTGTAAGATGGGACTAGTAATAACTTTTTTTTCTTTGTGCAAAGGTGCTAAGTATAGAGCATGACACATAAAGTATTCATGAATATTTCTCTTCTTGGTTCCTCTGTGGGGCCATGCCCTGGCTTCTCTGCCTTCTGCTTCCTTCCTTGCAGACCTATGCCAGATTTACTGGTGCTCCACTCAAGGTACACAAGATCACCAACCCCTGGCGGAGCCCTTCAGGTATCCAGTGTCCCTAGGAGGGTAAGGAAGGGAGTGTGCAAGGGGAGGAGCAGGAAGCAGGCAGGAATGTGGTGCAAGTATGTATGAATAGGCAAGAAAGGATCTGGTGGACATACTTCTTTCTCAATGTCAGGAACTCTGCCAGCCCTTCGGACTAGTCATGGAGAAGTCATCTCAATACCACACAAGATCATCACCCACCTCCGAAAAGAGGTAGGTGGCTTGGATGGGAGGGGCTAATGGACTAATAGTGAAAGAAATTCAGTCAGTTCAGTGCAACACAAATTTATTGAGCACCAGACATATGCCAAGGTAGACACAGGTGACCCAGACCATCAAGGAGCACACATTTTGATGAGGAAGACACACACAAATGTCACTGTGATGCCGTAAAGCAGTTGGCTAGAGATTAAGCTCAAGGCACTATGGGGGCATCCTGAGGCCCAGTGCTTTCTGCATGCTGGACAGAGAGGAAGGCAGAGGTTGATGACACATGGATGATTAGAGCCAGGTTGGGGAATTTGAAAGAGGAGTATTAAAGAAGTGAGGGCTCTTCAATCTGTCACTTACTCCCCAGAGCAGTAAGTTCCTTATGTGTAAAACTAGGGGGCAAAGCTAGGGTGCTTTTCAAGGATTCTTTGTTACAACATTCCTGGTTCCAAAAGGGGACACTCTGCCAAAAATGGGATCCTCTTTCTATTTTCCCACAGACTAAGGAACTGATGAGTTAATGGGGGCTTGAGAGGTCTGGGGAAATAGGATCCAGATAAAAGTCAATTTCCTGGCAGGGCCTGGGCTATTGCCTTGATTCCCCATATATAAACAGAACTTTTCTTTCTTTCGTTTTTTTTTTTTTTTTTTTTTTTTGCGGTACTGAGGCTTGAACTCAGGGCCTATACTTTGAGCCACTCCACCAGCCCTATTTTTGTGGTGGATTTTTCAGGATAGGATCTCTCAAACTGTTTGCCTAGGCTAGCTTGGAACTGCAATCCTACTGATCTCTGCCTCCTGAGTAGCTAGGATTACAGGCGTGTGCCACTGGCTCCCGTCTAAACAGAGCTCTTCTAGTTTCTAACTTTTCTCCCAGGCTGGGGGCATGGCTCAAGCGGTAAAGCACCTGCTTAGCAAGTACTAAGCTCTGAGTTCAAACTGTATTATCACAAAAAAAAAGAAAAAGAAAAAGCAAGGCAAAGAATTTTCTCCTAAATTATTTCCTAACACAGCCACATTGAGAGAAAGAGATTATTACCACATTGCCACAGAGGAGAAACTGAGGTTTAGAGAGATTTAAGAATCATGCTCAAGAGATTATGTGGGGACAAAGGTTACTCAGGATATGGAAGGAAATGCTGAAGAGTAGACTGAAGCCTGGGAAGGTAGGGCAAGCTAAGTGCCAGGGGTATGGGTGGAATTTGTGTGGTGATGGCACCTAAGCTATGGAATGAAGTAGAAGTAGCTGCCAAGAATTAGGCCATGAGGGAACAAGCCAGGTATCCCTAAGCATGAGTTCACTGGCTCCAGGGAATGTGAGGATGACATCCGTGGTTCCTCAGGCATGGGCTAGGGCCCAACCTGCAGCTAAGCTCCGCTCTGTTAGCTTTGTGGTGTCTAGACCGGGAAGTTACTGTTAGAAAGTTGCTGTCAACAGGCGTGCTGCCAGCTTTCCGTGGAAACTCTGGGAGCTGCTCCTAGTTTGTGGCCAGACCTTCCTTCCTCCCCCCAGTGAGTACAGGACCTTGACAGCCAGTGGGCTCCAAGACCCAGGCTTTCTGCCAACAGCAACAGGGTATTGGCTGGGCCGAGGCAAGGGGCCTCAGTGGGAAAAGCTCCTTGCTTTACCTCCAGTGCACTCAGAGTATACTGCCCCACCAGGAAAGTGCCCCTGCAATAACCTAATATCTACTTGATGGATATTTCTTCCATAGAAGTATAATGCTGATTATGATCTGTCAGCTCGGCAAGGAGCAGATACCCTGGCTTTCATGTCTCTGCTGGAGGAAAAACTGCTCCCTGTACTGGTGAGTGTACCCAGACTTCCCAGCATTCACAGCCTGCAGAGGGGTCACACACACACAGGCACAGAGCAGTGCGGTCGACTCAAGCCTACCGTGTGTCAGGAAGGTGCACTGGTTCAGACTTCCTCTTCCTTCCTGCCTACCCAATCCAGATACATACTTTTTGGATAGACACCAAGAACTATGTAGAAGTGACCCGGAAGTGGTATGCAGAGACTATGCCCTTTCCCCTCAACTTCTTCCTACCTGGCCGCATGCAGCGTCAGTACATGGAGCGGCTGCAGCTGCTGTGTGGGGAGCACAGGCCTGAGAATGAAGAAGAACTAGAGAAGGAGGTAGTTCTGGGGTAGGGGGCTGTTATATGAGATGAGCCCCAAGAATGATGACCAGAAATGGGAGTGCTAAGTGGGGAGGTGGCACTGTTGCCATAGTTGCAAGCCTACCTGTCATCCCTATAGCTGTACCAAGAAGCTCGGGAATGCCTGACCCTTCTGTCTCAGCGCCTGGGCTCTCAAAAATTCTTCTTTGGAGATGCGTGAGTCTGATTCCAGGGGGGTTATGGGTAATTGGAAGAAGACACAGGTTCAGAGGTAGCTGCTGGGGCTGAGGCTGGGCTGGGGTGGCCTCTGACTCTAGACAAGAGGTCCTCAGGACAGACACTGACTGTGGTCACAGGGGGCTGTGTGTGGGGCTGGAGCTGCCTTGGTGGTAAGGAGGGTGGGGTGTGAGGGCAGCCAGGCATAGGAGGGGCCTGCAACACTGGTGGGGCACTCAATGTGCCCTTTATGCAGCCCTGGGATAGAGCCCCATTCAAGGCCAGGCTGGCGCCACCTGGAGAGCCCTTCCCATACCAGGTTCAGAACTGCGTGTCCTATCTGTCCTCTGGTGGTCACCCTGCTGCCCAGACTCCCCCTCCCCCAACAAGGCTGACTTTTCCTCCAGCTCCATCTTGATCCCTCTGCCCACTTGTCTTCCTCCATTCCACCCTTCTTTTCTCTCCAGCCCCGCTTCACTGGACGCCTTTGTCTTCAGCCACTTGGCCCTGCTGCTGCAGGCAAAGTTACCCAATGGGAAGCTGCAGGCCCACCTGCGAGGGCTTCACAACCTCTGTGCCTACTGTACCCACATCCTCAGCCTCTACTTCCCCTGGGATGGAGGTAAAGAGCAGATGGGGAGGGGAGATACCCTGAGGAGTGGGCTGGGATCCAGGAACTAGCTCTCCTGCTCACATTCCTTCCTTGCCCTTCAGCCGAGGTGCCACCCCCACGCCAGACACCAATAGGCCCAGAGACTGAGGAAGAACCATACCGGCGCCGGAACCAGATTCTGTCTGTGCTGGCAGGGCTGGCAGCCATGGTGGGCTATGCCTTGCTCAGTGGTATTGTCTCTATCCAGAGGACAACCCCTGCTCGGACTCCAGGCAACCGTGCCCTAGGCATGGCTGAGGAGGATGAAGAGGAATGATTTGTCCTTATGCTCCCAGGACTGGTTTTTCTACTGTCATGCATTCCAGGGGCCCCTCTGCCTCCCCATTGTTGGTACAGCCAGAAATGGGGTGCTATCCCCAGAATAAAGCTGCTCACACTGACTGGGATCAAGCATTCTCTCCTTTTATAGGGCTGCCATGGGGCTAGAGGTCTGGCTCATGAGGTAGAGCACTAGTCTAGCAAGCACAAATGCAAGTTCAAACCCCAGTACCACAAAAATAAAAATAAATAAAGGGCTGCCATTATCTTAGCTGCTGTCACAGGGACATCCGGGTGCTTGAGCCTACTCACTGGTGCTGACATTGCTTTTGTATGGGCCCAGTTCTGCATCTCAAGGAAAGACAAATAGTCCCTAGTTCTGGTCCAGCTTTCCTACTCTCCTCCTTTCCTTACATCCCTGCCTCCACCCTGGCTCCACCATCTTGTGTTTGTACAGACAGTGAGCTCACCCTGGGTCTAGGCCCAGTTTCCACAAGCAACGAGCACAAAGCACACTTATACAAGCATGGGGGCTGGAGGAATACTGGGGCTTCCTGATCTTTCCTTAGGGGCCTCCAGCCCCTGGCACCTACTAGAGAAGAGAATGAGTCACCCAAACCACTACCCTTGAGCCTACATCACTGTAAGCTCACCCTCTCCCTGCTGTGCCCTCTTCAGCGACAGACAGCATGTGAACTGCCTGTCCCTTTATGTCCATGCTAAGCCCAGGTGCTTGCTCCATCACTGGCGACGCCACAGGTAGGTATGAATGGAGTAGCCAGGTGAGATGGTTTCCAGGAAGCCCACGGCAGGATCACTGATGGTAAGAGGCACATCCTTAGAGGAGCTGGGGAAGAGAGGAGAAGCTGAATGTGAGCCTGCCAAGGCCCACCACCCCGTCTCAGCCCAGGCCCAGCCTGCCCTTGCCCTCACCGATTCAGTACGACCACAACTGCAGAGCCATCAGGATGTAGTAGTGCCACTGTGTCCAAGTCGTTCTTCTCACTGGCCACCAACCCCACTCTCTGGGAGCCCTCAGGAATAAACTTGCTGCACGTAGGAACAAGCATCATCAGGGACCCCATCCCAGCCCCTCAGCCCTCAAATCTTCACCTAAGAGGTTATCGACCCTCCTGCCTCCACCCCTGCTCACAAGTCCTGCCAAAGCTCTTCCCTAGGTCAGACACATTGCCAGGAGACAGTTCAAGGCTATAGAGTGAGACTGTCTCAAACAAAGCAAGACTGGGTGTGGAGACACAAGTCTGTAATCTCAGCTCTGCACTAACTGTAGTCTTAAAACCATGCTGCTGGGCCTTGCCCCTGCCCTCTCACACCCCAGCCCCAGCATCAGACATACAGGGGTTGTCTGTGTCACTAATGCCACTAGTCACATCCCGCCTACATGGTGGAAGAGAAAAGGGGTATGCCTCTCCTGAGGTTCCAACCCTAAACATCTTCCTGCTCCCTCATGGTGTGAGGTGATGTAAGCCTGATGCAGGAGATGACAGGCCTGGTATGGAATGGGGGCATGCCCCCCTCACACTCACCTGAAGTGGCCAAGGTGGTAGAACATGGGCTGTTTGTAAAATGTGTCCTTGGCAATGTCTACAATAATGGGGCTGTCAACAAAGTTGCGGACCCAGTTGGGTCCCCCTTCAGGGTTCAGGGCGAGGTTCCAGTCCATCCAGCCAACCACGTGGTAGAGGAGGTTCTGCAGTATGGACAAGGATAAAGACCAAAACTCGTCAATTCCTCGTTAGTATAGTGGTGAGTATCCCCGCCTGTCAAAACTCAACACTAGGGGTCCCCAGAGAAGGTAATTAAGGGTCACATGAGGGAGCTGGGGGCTGTGAGTAGCTCAGCTCTGTGAGGTGGCATCCTGTCTCAGTATCTTAAGGAAAGAAGGATTGTGAAGATGAGGTCTATCGAGGGAAGCCAAGAAACTGGTGGCAGATGCAGCTGCCTGAGCCCCATGCATGCAGAAAAGGATGATGGGGTTTGTAAATCTGTGAAGGAAAGGAAAGCTAGAAAATCATGGCATCCCAAAATTGTTCCAAAGGGCAAGCTGGCAGGGAAAAGTTGAGGAGGAAGTGCCATCAGCTTTTGGTGAGCCTAGGAAGAGGTGTGGTGCAGTCTGCTTTACAGGAAGGAAGACAGGTGGCTCACCGTGATGATACTGTGGCTGTACTGCATCCCTCGATCCCAGGAGCCCAGACGAACACTCTGTTCCCAGAACTTAGAGCCTACACAGGCCTCTGAGGCAAAGAGCATGGTGTTGGGAAATAGGCGGTGTGTCTCTCCTAAGGTGGCTTTTGCTGGAGCCAGAAAGTCCAAGTACCAGTGTACAGCAATGCCATCAACGTACTTAGCTGCCTCTTGGTCTGTCAGCACCTGCACAGGGAAAGGAAAGAACCACTAGGGTAGGGCAGCTATTGACCCTGAGTCCTGGTTCTAGAAGAGGAACTAGGAGTTCTGAGAAATGGATGAAAGAACAGATACAAGTATAGCCGGACACCAGTGGCTCATGCCTATAATCCTAGCTACTGAGGAGGCCGAGATCAGGATTACAGTTCAAAGCCAGTCCGGGCAAATAGTTTGTGAGACCCTACCTCAAAAAAACCATCACAAAAAAGGGCTGGTGGAGTGGTTCAAGGTGTAGGCCCTGAGTTCAAACCCCAATACTGCAAAACAAAAAAAAGATTGCAAATACATAGAGGGCTAAAGTGACCACCATGGGAGAGCCAGGCTTGTCATTGGGATTGGGGGGTGGGATTGGGGGGAATCATAGTCTGAGTCCAGCCTAGACAAAAAGTTTTCAAGACCCCATCTCAACCAATAGCTGGGCACAACAGTGCATGCCTGCTGCCTCAAGCTATGTGGATGGTTGAGATCAGGAGGATCACAGTTCCAGGCCAGCCCAGGCAAAAAAGACTGAGACCTTCCCCCTCCAACACCCATCTCAATGGAAAAAGCTGCGCACAGTGGTGCATGCCTGTCATCCTAGTTACAGCAGGAAATGTAAATGAGAAGCACTGGGGTCCAGGCCAGCCTGGGCCAGAGCCCAGTTTGGAGCCAAAATGGGAGACCCTATCTCCAAAATCACCAAAGCACAAAGGATTGAGGAGCAGGTCAAACAGTAGTGTCTACCTTGCAAGTATGAAGTTCAAATTCCAGTACCACCAAAAAAAAAAGTGGATATATGGGCCTGGCACCTGGACTGAGCCCAGGTTGATCTAGGAATCAAGAGTTGGGGCACACCAGGCACTTAAATTTGGATCCAATCATTTGGATGCTAAATTTGTAGGTCACTGGGGAGCCCATGGAGGCCCTGGGCCTTACCACCTGTGCCCAGCGGGGCAGCAGCAAGCGTTGGTCATCCAGCATGAGCAACTGGATACCACGGTGACTACTGTTGGCAAGGGCTGGACCCAGGTCACGGGCAATGAAGTCTCTCTGGTGTTCAGCAGTGAAGCCCAGGCATTGGAAGGGGTACCCACTAATCAGCCCTGCAGAAGGTTCATTCTCAGCTGTCACTGCCCAGAATTTTAACTTACGCTCAGCATAGGCATCCAAGAACCTGGCAAGAGAAAGGGCATGAGTGGTCATGGCCAAAAGAGTAGAAGAAGACCCCAGGGAACAGGAACCCTGATGGAGTGGGGAACTGATGGTCCCAAGTCTCAAAAGCCCAGAAGGTAGGAAAGTAAATGTAAAAATGATGAACTAAAAGGAGAAAAAAAAATACTGAAGAAGTACAATAGAAAAAAAAAAAAAGAAAGTAGGAAAGTGAGCCAAAGGACATGCAGATCTGGAAATGCAGCGAGGTCAAGAGGTGGGACATAGACCAAGGTGTGCAAAGGAGAGGCTGGTCCAGACCTCTTGGCCTTGATCTCTTACTTGACAAAGTATTTGGCCCAGGTCTGGTGGTAGATATCCCCTGGGTGACCCTTGAGTGACCCCTTCCCATTCACTGCCCCATTGGTTTTGAGCCAAGTGGGTGATGTCCAGGGACTGGCAAGAAGTGAGATGGGACGCTGGGTCAACTGCATAGCTTGGTGAATCAGGGGTATCTAGAGACAAACATAAGAGAGACACCCAGGGTTGGAACACAGACAGACTAGCATAACCAGCACAGCAGGTCCAGTCATTAGCTCCCATCTTCCTAACCCAGGACAAAACAGGCAGCAGGGAAAGTTTCTGTATCACTCTGCAAACTGCTCTAGCTGGACCTTCTTGACCCCCAGACATCAATGTCATTAGGCCCTGAGGCAGCCAGAATGCCCACCTTGAGCTTGGTGTCTTCTTCTGAGAGGCTGAAGTTGTTTAACTGGAAGTCATCAGGGGTGTCAGCATAGGTGTAGGTGTGGATGGAGAAGTCACAGCTAGCCATGGGTACCCGAATAATGTTATATTCGATTCCTGCAGAAAAGGATCACCAAGCTATGGTAATCTGAATCAATAGAATATGGGGGATAAGGTCATTAGCACCTGCCTAGCAAGCTCAAGGCCCTGAGTTCAAATCCTAGGACTGTCAAAATAAACAAAGAAAAACCAGAATATGGGAGCTTGGTTTATGATTTCCTATTCCTCAGTAGGTTTAGTCAGGGCCAAAGGGAGTGTGGGTCTGTACACTGGGGATTGTGGAGGCCAACACTGGGTAGAGGACAAGCCTTTCTGAGCCTGAGAGTCTCCAAGTACTTAGCAGAAGATCGACAAGGCAATCTTATTTCACTGCCACTAAGAGAGGAAACAAATGGCTGGGCCTAGTGGCGCATGCTTACTCCCAGCACTTGGGAGGCAGAGGCAGGAGGACCCCAAGTTCTAGGCTAGTCTGTGCTACATAGGGAGAGCCTATCTCAAAAAAAGAAAAAACAGGGAAAATGTGAAAGGGTACAAGGAAAGGACAAGGAGAAATATCAGTTGAACCACTCTGTCATCTTGTCTCACTCCTCACCTTCTCTAGAGAAGTAGGATTTGAGTAGCAACTTCTGGGCAGAGGGTGACAGAGCAAGGATGTTGAGAGCAGCAGCATCTGTCATGGCCCCTCCAAATCCTTTGATTTTCTGGAACTTCTCTTCTGGCTGCAGGGTCAGTAGCAGCCCTGAGGACACCATCAGGGAAAAACAAAAAAGGGTGTCAGCACACAGAGAAGAAACTCCATAATGATCACTGGCATAACTTAGATCCAGGGAAACCCAGCCTGGCTCAGGAGCAAGGGGCATAATGGTTACCTGTGCCCGTGCGATTGGCCTGAATGGTCCCCATACTCAGCTCCATCCGACGCCCACTGCGCGTGCTCTCATAGCGGCTGAAGGTACCAGGGGCAGGGAAGGTTAAGGGATCAAGAGAGTCACAATACGTGGCATTGCAGACACAGACCACCGAGCTGTAACCAAAGCTTTTAGGAATGCAAGGGTGGGCACCTGGAAGGGAGAGGCACAGCAGAGACAAGGGCTGAAGCAGGTGGATGGAGGGAATGGACATGCTGGTTAGGAGAATGAACATCAGTTTCAAAAAGCCCCTTGGTGGACCCCCCCCACCCCAAAGTTGGTCTCCATCACTCAAAAAGGTTTACCGAGCACCTACTGAAAGTCTACCACCAGTACACTGGAAGGCAGAGGGAGCTTCCGTGCGACCTTCCCTCTCCTTAACTCACTTACCTGATGCCCATGACACTGCCTGAAGTAGGAGCAATCCCGTGAGGCTGGCAACCACGATGCCTACCCTGCTTCTGTGTTTAAGACAATCCTGAGAACATAATGAGAAGTGACTAGAACGCAAGCTCCTCTCCATCCCTTTACTGCTTGCTCTCGTGGCCAGGGTTTGGCTGCCTGTGGCTACACAAGCCTATTCCCCAGCTCCCCCATCTTTCTGAGGATGGGACAAGGCTCACAGACACCTGGGTGCAGCCCTCCTGATGATGACAGCTTTCTGCCACCCCAAAGAAGACTCTCCTCACCCCTTTTCCCACCCATTTCAACCTTGATTCCTCCCTCCTTCCATCTGTGCCTTGTTTAAAGACCCATAATAGTTTGGGTTTGAAGAGTCTGCTATTCATTGAATTCCAGAACCTGGATGACCAGAAGCAGAGTGGCAAGGCTGATCAGGCCCCCTGGCCTGCTTACCTTTCCGGAAGTACTTGAAAACTCCATTGTCTCAGGGTAACCGAATGGGGAGAAGACTACAAGGAGCTTCAGAGGTTCAGAGGGACAGAGGATACACTAAATAACAAGGATGCAGATATCTACTATAGCTACTGAAACCAGCGCTACCTCTGCGGGTTAATTCTGGCATGACAAAGTGGGTGGGTCATGTGATAGCTAAGAAAGGATCACATGGTACGGAAAGTGAAGCAATCGCAGCCATATTTGTAATGGGCATCTGGCTTTTTCCGGGTTGTTGATTTATACATTTTGTGAAAGCATATACGGCTGAGAACTTTGGGAAGAGCTTAGAACAAAAATTTGAGTGGAGAACTAGGTAGAGGCTACTAAATCCCAGAGAGAGAAAGCCACAACAGGTACATATAGAGAATAATTTTAAAGACTTACTAAGTGTGGGAATGTATCTCAGTGGTAGCTTGCCTATCATGTGAGGCCCTGGGTTTAACCTCCAGGACTGAAAAAAAAAAAAAAAAAAAAAAGTGATACTAATAAAGACAATACTTCTGGGTGCCAGTGGCTCATGTCTGTTATCCTAGCTTCCCAGGAAGAGAGATCAGTAGGATCCCAGTCCAAAACCAGCCTAGGCAGACAGTTCACGAGACCCTGTCTCGAAAAAAACCCTTACAAAAAAGGGCTAGTGGAGTGGCTCAAGGTGTAGGTCCCGAGTTCAAGCCACAGTACCGCAAAATAAATAAATAAATAAATAAACAATAAAATAAAGACAATACTAAGCCAGGCATCTGTGCTTGGGAGGCTGAGATCAAGAGGATCTCGGTTTGAGGCCAGCCCAAGCAAATAGTTCTCCAGACCTCATCTCCAAAATAACCAGAACAAAATGGACTGGAGGCATTGCTCAAGTGGTAGAGCATGTGCTTTGCAAGTGCCTACTTTGCAAGCGTGTGTTCAAATGCCAATCCCAACAAAAAATAAAAGGACAATACTAATAAAAAGAGGTTTACTATGCAAAATACTGAAGCCACAGAGATATTTAAGATCGTCTTTCCCCTAAAGCAGCCCATGAAGCACAGATATTTACCACAGATATTTACCAATGAAGACAGAAATGGTAATAGGTATCCTTGGAAAGCTCCCTGGAAGGAAAAGGGATCCTTCATGGGTGGAGAGTTCTCCAGAAGGCTCTACAGAGAAGGTGGGGGGAAGTAGAGGGAGGGTGGAACCTGAGATGGGGGTGACATGACTGAGGGAGGGAGTAGTCTGTACTTCACCTTTCTGGATTTCCTGGTTTCATCATCAGATGCTGACTGTAGTAATTACTCTTCCTTCCTCACAGGACTGGGAGGTCGGCAAAGTAGTTCGGAACTTGGGCAGTGGGCCGGACTTAATGGTACCCTCCTATAATCTCAACTACTTGGGAGGCAGAGGTAGGAGGATGTAGATTCAAGGTCAGCTAGAGCAAAGTTAACGTGAGACCCAATCTGAAAAACAAGCCAAAGAAAAGGACTGGGGACATGACTCAGGTGGTAGAGCATTTGCCTAGCAAGCACAAAGCCCCCAAGTTCAACCCCCAGTACCACACCAAAAATTCTTTTAAAAAGAAAGAAAAGAAACTGAAAAGTGCCTCACTGGACACAAGATGTGTCCAGCGATGTGGCCTCATGAATCACATTCAATAAGATTTAGTGGGAGAGATACACCATATGACTTGATTAATTCTAGCTCTCTAAGCAGTTTCTTGCCTGTAAAACAAAGGCAATACCACAATCTCACAGGGCCAAGGTGAGATAAGCACTTTGCCTGGGGTTGAGTAGACACTGAGAACTATCTTGTTTGTTGTATGACTCTTCTGTATTATTTGAGCTATCTCAATGAAGTCCAACCAAGCACACTCTAGGCAAAATTGACCATTTCTTCTCCTACTTCCTACAACATTTAAGTATAGTCTCTGAGAGATGGAAGAAGGTTTCAACCTGGTTCCACCATTTACTGGCTGTTTGACCATCAGTGAATTACTTAATCTCTCTAAGCCTGTTTCTCATCTATAAAAGGTGAGTGATAATTCCTACTTCACATGAGTCTTGTGAGGTATAAATACGGTGACGTATGACTGGTACACTGCTTGGCACCAAATGTTGCAAGAAGGTAGGCCTGTGTTTATGGAGGAAAAATGAGTTCCTTCAAGGAAATGTCTTACTCATTCTGGTACAGGAATGGTGCCAAGCTGTAGGTTGAACTGAACTACCTGCATGGCTATGTTGTATCCACCCCTTTCAGACTTCCTGTTTTTCCAGGAAGTGTTGCATAGGACTTACCCTCTACAGAGCAGGTGCCTTGCTTCCCTCCAGTTCACTTATTTGACAGTTTGTTGTTTGTTTGTTTCCTTCATGCTTTGCACATACTAGGGAACTGCACTACCACTGAGCTCCACCTATAGCCCAATTGCTATTTTATTTTTGGTGGTACTGGGGGAGGAACTCAGGACCTCATGCTTGATAGGTAGGAGCCCTATATATGAGCCAATCTACCAGCCCCTAAGAGCTAATTTTTAAATGTGTATTTATATTTAGTTGCTTATCTTTACCTATTTTTGGGGGGGAGCTGGTGTTGGAACTCAGGATCTCACGCATGCTAGGCAGGCACTCTATCACTCTGCCAGCCCTGTTTTGTGTTGGGTATTTTCAAGATAGGGTCTTGAGAACCATTTACTTAGGGCTGGCTTTGAACAGCAGTCTCCCTGATTTCTGCCTCCTGAGTAGCTAGGATTATAGGCATGAGCTACTGGTGACCAACTTATCTACTTATTTTTCAGACAGTCTTCCTTTTCAAGGAAGGCCTTGAACATGTGATCCTCCTGCCTCAACCTCCAGAGTGGATGGGATTATAAATATGAACCACTGTGCTCAGGTTCCACAAATATTTATTGACTATTTGCATTTATCTACATTTGCCCCTGCCTGCCCCATTTGGCTTAGAGCCTTTTCCCCCTCCCTGTTTCCCTCCGCAGGCTGAGTTTGAATGCCTTGCTTCTTTTTATGCTTCAGTTTACAAAAATTTTTCCAAGGCGATACCATCTCATCTTTCAAATTTCTCTCACTTTGACCTTAATTTTTTTAATTTTATTTTCTAAGTAAAGTTAGTTATAATAAGGACTACTAAACAAAATTATGGGAGGCTATTATTGTGAATTGAGCTCCTGCAGTTGGGCTCAACAGACCAGACCAAACCAAAATGGATTCACTCCTACCAAATGCCACATAATCAAAATGAAACTTTAAGGAAGACAGGGCCCCAAACACAAAAGTTTTCCCTAAAAACAAGAGATTCTGGTCTAGGATCAGTGAAATAAGAAATCCCGTTTTCACTCGCCAACGCTGCTGAGGTCGCACGCTTGAGGCCTATCAGTCGCAACCAACATGCGCTATGTCGCCTCCTATCTGCTGGCCGCCCTCGGGGGCAACTCGTCCCCCAGCGCAAAGGACATCAAGAAGATCCTGGATAGCGTGGGCATCGAGGCGGACGATGACCGGCTCAACAAGGTCATCAGTGAGCTGAACCGGAAAAACATTGAAGATGTCATTGCTCAGGGTGTTGGCAAGCTTGCCAGTGTGCCTGCTGGTGGAGCTGCTCCCGGCTCTGCCGCTCCTGCTGCTGGTTCTGCTCCGGCTGCAGCAGAGGAGAAGAAAGACGAGAAGAAAGAGGAGTCTGAGGAGTCAGGTGATGACATGGGATTTGGCCTGTTTGATTAAATTCCTGCTCCCCTGCAAATAAAGCCTTTTTATGTATCTTAAGAAAAAAAAGAAATCCCTTCTGCTTAACTCTTATAAAAAAAGGAAGTAACCTAAAGCAACGTCATGTTGACCAATCAGTTTCTTTTCCTATTTTGTTTCTTTGTTCTCACCTTCCAAAACCCGCCTTTATGCTAACATACAGTGGGAGCTCTTGCTCTGTTTTGGATGCTAGAGACTGCCACCATCATGAATCATAAATAAAAAACAATTTGATCTGTAAATAGATTTGTTATAATTTTGTTTTTTGACAAGGTGTGTTTTCTTTAAGCTTCCTTCATAATGCTCAGGTTTTTTCATTAATATTGCTTAACATATTATATAATAAAGTTCCAGGCTGGGGATATAGCTCAGTGGTTGAGTGTTTGCTTAGCATGCACGAAGCAAACTTTAATAAATAAAGTCCTGTTGAGGACTGACAGAGGGGTACAAATGGTAGAACACCTGCCTAGCAAGTGTGAATGCAAGGCCCTGAGTTCAACCCCCAGTACCAGAAAAACAAATTTTAAAAGTACAACAAATAAAGTCCTGATGATTTATCTTTTTTAATTTAAATCTACCACTTTGATTTTACTTCACTTATTTATTTTTTTTGTGGTACTGCATATTGAACTTTGTACTTGCTAGGCAAGCGCTCTACCACCAAGCCACATCCTGGTCGTATTTTTTATTTTAATTGTGTGTGTATTTTAAACAGAGCACTCCAAAGTCACGTGAAATGACCTGACAATTCTTCCTTGAGCAGGAACGTTCTGCACCTTACAAAATATCTGCTTTTTGGCCTGGAGGTGTGGCTCAAATGGTAGAGTGGCTGCTTTGTTAGCATGAAGCCCTAAGTTCAAACCCCAGTTCCACAAAAAAACAATAATTAAAAAAAAAACTAATACAAAATATCTGCTTTTCCTGGCCTCCATCTGTTGGCTCTTTCAATCATTGCCTCAACCAAAGATGCCCTACAAATGTCCAAAATACTCCCTAGGAACAACTGAAAACCATTGCCCCAGGAGCTCACCTCAAGCACACAGGTTTCACTGCAATGGCCACTAGGGGCACGTTAAATGGCACAAGCATGTTCTCTTTGCATAGCACATTAAAAAAACTGCTATGGGTGGGAATGTAGCTTAGTGGTAGGGCACTTGATCTGGGTTTGATCCCCAGCATCACAAATAAGTAAATAAATAAAAGGAAAAAGAAAAATTTAAACACCAAGGGATAACAACTAGGAACTAAATGTTAAGTGAAATGCAGAAGTAAAAAAGAGACTTTGGCTCAGCAAGGGAACTTTGGGCCTGCCTCAGTTCTGGGCTATAGACCTGGTTTGAATAGCAAACTTCAGCCTTGGAGACCGGCAGATACCACGTCACAGGCTCCTTCTCTTGAGGCCCTAGACCAACTCCCCATGGAAGATACCCCTTCCCAGTCCCACTATTACCTCCACAGTCAAGTCAAAGAGAGGTGCTTTCTCATTCCATGCACAGTGGAGAGAAAGAGGTCAAGAATGAATGAAATTTAGCAGTCAACCCAGTCAACTCTGGTTTCTGAAGACATACCACTCTTCCTGATTTCTGATACCAAAAAGGTCTTCATGTCCAGGTGACACCCCTTCTGCCCCTTACCCACTATGGTGTGGTTTAGCCTTGAATTCATCAAATTAACCAACTCTTCACAATAACTGTAGCATTCACTGTATAGCCCACTGCAAACAGAAGGTACTTATACCTCATATGCTGTTTTCTAAATGTTCTCAAGATAACAGTAATTAATCTTTGTGGGCGCTGGTGCCTCATGCCTATAATCCTAGCTACTCAGGGGGCAGAGATCATGAGGATCACGGTTCAAAGCCAGCACAGGCAAATAGTTGGTGAAACCCTATCTCGAAAAACCCTTCATAAACAAAATGGGGCTGGTGGAGTGGCTCAAAGTGAAGGCCCTGAGTTCAAGTCCCATTACCGCATAATAATAATAATTCTTTGGTGAGTGCTTATTACCTGCATTAACCTGATAATCCAGGTTATAGATAAGAAAACTGAGACTTAGAGAAATTAAAAAAAAAAGTAGCCAAGCCAACTCTAATTTTATATTCATCCTACTCTAAAACCCCAGAGCCCTAAGTCATGTCATATAGCCTCACATGTGCTTTGGGAATGTATTTTTATTCTTCCTTAAAGGTTGTAAACAATTGTAATGTAAGTTTCATGGTTCTTATTTCTTTGAGACCTCGAAGTTCTTTATTCACAGGTAAGCACAGAATAAATGTCCAATTTTTTGTATGTTTTGGTGGAACTGGGGTTTGAACTCAGGGCTTTGTGCTTGCATAGCAGGCACGCTACCACTTGAGCCACACCTCCAGTCCATTGTCCTCTGATTATTTTGGA